AGAAGAGACAGTTACCTAAATCTTTTGGTAACTTGCACAAGATGATCCTGTGTGACAGGTCGACCCAAATCCTAAGTGCAGTATGGTTCGTTCATAGCTTAGGGTTACGATTTTACAAGCTTTCGTCAGCTATTCCCGTTCTCTTACATTGTACCGAATACATTTGGATCCCTGATTCGCATCTCATAGCTTCCTTCACTTTGATCATCTAAGTTCGGGTGGCTGGACGCTGCACAACTTCCCATCACAAAATACTCTTGCTTCAAAACTACTTCAGATGCAGACCAACCATACGGAATTACACAAGGAAATGAAAACTTCAAGCTTCCTAAAAGTAACCCTAGCCTAACATTGTTGGCCACCTTCTGATACTGGATCTGAAGACCGAATACAGAAGCCACCAAATCGCCCATTTTCAGCGTTAGTCAACCCCGGTTGTCAATTGTCGAAAATGCCATCTATTAGTCGGTCAGCACAACAGAAAATGAACATATCTCTATGAGAAGATCGGGATTTATTCAATGTCGGGCACAGTAAGCACTTGTGGATGATGAATGCAGAATCCGTGTCGGAATGCACTGAGTGCCAGTAAATGTGAACTGACGGCAGACAACTGATATGCCAAGAGCAGGCACTGACTTCTTTCGCTTTCGACAATGCGCTGTATAATCAGACAGTGCCGAATCCGATGCAGTATTAGAGATAGAATGAAGCCTCGCAAAACGCAGTAATACCGTTTCGGGAAGAACATGAATTTCTTCATCATGTACAAGGACAACCATACTTATGTTCCACCTTTCACTTGTAGGTGAAATTTTTTTCATTGTTTAACAAACAAGCACGGGGAAATAGAAAGTATAGTAATAACGCCCTGCATTCTAACAGAACAAACCCATGGAATAAATATAGTTCAATAAGCGAGACAAACTGTCCCTTATTCGATATCAACAGCTTCCTCCACGTTTGTTCAAACGAATTGCATGGGAGTGTACGAATGTTGTAGTGGTAAAGAGGTGCGTCATTGTCTAGTACAGCGGTGGTTAAAGGTGCATTAATTAAAGTCAGTAGTTCACTCCCATGAAATATGATTTTTGGACAGTAAAACAAACACATCGACAAAGTGACATATATTTCCGAATACCTAATCCACTTAAGGCATACTCGCCTCCTGTGCGGCAGCTAAAAAAAAACCGGGTTATCTAGGACGAACAAGTGAGTGTATTCATAATAGAAAAATTCCCATAGCATATACATAGAAATAGGAGAAAAACGGAACCGGTTAGCCAATACAGAGTGTGTGCGTGTGTATAATAAAGGCGCTCAACTGACAGAAAAAGTACAAGTATAGAAGGAGATAAAAAACCCAAAAAATTCATGCTAACAATAAACAATTGAGGATTATTACTGTCATATCATATATAGATTTATTTTTCTATTAAAAAGATAATAAAGCGATAGCACAAAACTGTGGCAAGATATTCACTCAAAGTGGAATTGGGAGCAAGTTTCACGGAAACCGAATAGTACAAATATGGACAGAAAAGCAGCTAACGCGCTGGAAATTCAACGACGAGAGATGAGGCTAGAAGACACAGATGACTCCCTGAATCGGTTTATGGTAGTCATACCACATTCTCTACTGGAAAGCGAGGGCGGGGAAAGAAAAGGAACGGTTATACACGCCGGATGTCCGCAAAATCCTATAATCACAATCATTCAATTTGCTCCTACAATATACCACGGATATGCATTTATTTATGCACGGAAGGAGATGGGAACAAAGGTAAATGGGTGAGAAAACGCTAAGCCAGTCAGATAGAAGACAAGTGTTAACTGTCATAAAATGAGTTACGTTACTTCCTAAAGGACAGATGGAGCAGGACTGAAAAAGCAAATTACCTTAAATAGGTATAGAAAAATTCATAATACATTCATTTCAAGAGGAACAAAAGGTCGCAGTTGAAAAGGTCAGGTAAAATATCCCGTATTAGAGTGCATAAACGCCTTGAGATGTACACATGTTACAAGTTCACGATCAAAACCTCTAGATAACCTGGAGGAGGCAGATCTGATAGGTATTAAAAATCGATAAACTCAGCGAAGGATGGGAAGCAGCAGACTCAGGAATAAAAATAAGATTTAGGAAAAAGCACCCGAAATACGAGCAGCTTGGGGAGATTTTATATTCAAATTTTCAATAGCAACTTCTTGAAATAGAACAGGACTAGAGAGATAGATAGATAGAGCAAAAACACAATTACACTGAAAGGTAAACAAATGTATGAAAAAATGCTACAAAACCAAAAAAACAAATATAAAGTGCTTTGGATAGGAGGGGAGAGATAGACGGTCGAGTCAAAACAGAATACTCAGGAATGAGGAAAGGTCATCCGATAAAC